TTCTTTCATTGGTTAAGTCGACCTTACCTGTATGTAATCCTAATCCCTATTTAATACATATTTGACCACATTTTTTTTTCAAAAGCATGGACTACTTCCAGATCATTGTTGTTCACAATGACCTGGAAGTGGTTCATGAATCCACATACCTCGGCTCCACTATGTCGAATACCGTCTCCCTAGAAACTGAGTTCAACAGACGGATCGGACGAGCTGCCACCACGTTTGCCAGGCTGACCTCGAGAGTATGGGAGAACATACTCTAGATAGGAGAGACGCCTCAACGCCTTTCATGAGATGCAGTCAATTAGTCCGACCGGGTCACCATTCCCGTACTTCTCACCCGTGCCCAGTTACCCAGTTTATACGTCCTTCTCCAACATCGCCGGCTCCGCTGGTTTTTAACATATATGTATGCCGGATAAGAGTATCCGAAGGTCTTTCCGTACGATGACCTGTCCACCAGCAAGAGGGCACAAGGGTGGCATAGTCTTCTCTTCAAGGACGGATGCAAAAAGTTCATGAAAGCGATGGAAATGGACGTCGAGAGGTGGGCATATGTCGCCAACGTATAGCTCAGACTGGAGATGCGATTTACACAGAGGTATCGAACAAGAAGGGGAGAAAGGAAGGCTTGCCAACGAGGAGAAGCATGAATGACAAAAAGCAAACAACGCAATATCGGGGGCAGATCCTTCACAAAGCAATCCAAACAGTTACTCCCGTGTGTGACTCTACAGTCATAACAGATGCTGCCCCAGGCAGATCCCAGGTTTACACACACACACACACATATATATATATATATATATATATATATATATATATATATATATATATATATATAGTGTGTGTATGTGTGTAGCTAGCAATATGTGTGTATATTCGAAGAATTAAGATAATCTTCAGACACGAATCTACAAAGTTTAAATTTTTTTATTTATATGAGTATTATTTTTCTTTCAAATTGAAAGAAATGAATTACAAAAATTTTTTGCAAACAACTTCACACAAAATATTTTGTGTATCTTTTGTACAGTACAACTGAATGAATTTCGGTCGTATAGGATAAACGGAAAATGTGTCTACATATGTGCGGATGTATATGGCAAAACTTTACATTGTTTTCACTGTGTGTATATGAAATTCCAGTAGTAAACCACGTGAAATAAGCGAAAGAAGTTAGCTGCGACTGCTGACGCATGTAAACAAATTAGCACTAAGCATTTTTTCTAATACTGTATACTCAAATAAATAAGCGACAGATGTGAGTAATTAATTGTGAGAATTTCAGTTTAGATCGTGTGACAAAAAAACAGAACAAACACCGTGGTCAAAGGTTCACTGAAAGACTAGTTAGCGAACAAGAATTTATCAGATTTATTATAAAACTGTAGCATCCAGATAAAAGTAAAATTTACATTTATTAATCTCATGCTTATTGGCTAATATATATTTTCCTAAATTTAAATATTCCTTTAGAAGGAAAATATTGTTGAAAATATTCTGAAGTTGAGCCTCCAAAATTTAATTCCAAGGTAGTTTACTGTATGCCAATTCAAAGACCACCGCGCGTCTCGTACAGCAACGCTGGTTGTTTAATATATATGAATACAAAATTCATATATCTGGAGCGTGTCAATCTAAAAATTGAATTACATTCTGTGAGCCGGTTTTGTACAAAAAATGAGTTTTCAGTTTCAGTATTTAAATGTATTAGAATTTTTTTACAATCCTGAAACGGCGCTCCACACACACACACACACACACACACACACACACACACACACACACACACACACACACACACATATATATATATATATATATATATATATATATATATATATATATATATATATATATGCGCATGAATGAAACATGAAAATACTGAAATAAATATATGAGTAAATGTTCGTAAATATTCTTTCTAAATCTATAAATCTATAGATGATTAGTTGCAATGATTGTTCTCGTCCATTGAGTGTAGGTATTGGAAGTTTGTTTGGGGTTAATTCCTAGAGTAACAGGCATAGAACTGACTTGCTGAAACCTTGCAGAAGCCAGCTTCTTATGTAATGGATGACAAAATTTCAGCGTAAAACTTAATTTAAATAAACAAGAAAAAAGGAATTTTTAACAAGACTAGAAATTACTACCGAGTCTGTTAACTGGTCAGCCAGTTGCTAAGCAGCAAACGTTATTCTGTGAAAAGCTTTTAAAGTCGATCCCTCAGTGAGAAAGGTCACATTCTGCTCTATGGCACGCCAAGCTTTCACAGGTGAATCCGATCGACCAGTGCTAATTATAAATAGACCGGCAATCTGACCCGCTAAATAAATAAATAACAAAAATCTTCCGATTTGAGACGGTTCGGGAGAAATCTGGTCTTATCTAGAAAACCTTACGTGATTCTAGAAGCCTCTAGGGCAAGAACCGGAAGTGATCCACCACACAAAAGGCGAAATATAAAAGTAAGAGTTTGAGTATGAATTGAGGGACAGCAGAGTTTACAGGTGAGTTTCGTGGATGCAGTTAAACTGGGAGTGATTGTAATTGAGTCGGCTGGTTGTGGATGGAATTAAGATATCACGCCTGTAGAGAGCAGTTTAATAACCTGACGCTAGAACCACCATTAGTGCTCTCTCTCTCTCTTTCTCTCTCTCTCTCTCTATCTTGACAATTGACACAAGAGGAAAAATAAACCAGGAAGAAATCAATCGATGTCTTGAAAAAATTTGCGTCCGCGTGTTTTTTTTTTCTTTAGTGCCGTCGTAAGCGACCACATTACACATCATGTTTTATAGCAATGAGAGGCAGTGTTACATAGTTGAGATATATGTCTGTCAGCCAGGATGACTATGGCAAAGCTAAGTTTTACTGGAAATTGAAGTTGCTTGAAGACAATTTTGGAATTGAGGCATTTTTTTAATTTTTTTCCTAATCAAGTTAGATTGATTGACTGATTTGAATTTTATTTTACGGTTTATCAACATTTTAACAGATTATTGAAAGCCAGATAATTTTTTGAGATAGTAAAATGCTTTCTGAGATAATAATAATTTACTGATACAAATTCTACTATTTAACCCATAGCTGGAAAGAATGGAATCCATATATTTCCCAAGTGTATTTGCGCGTAAGTGAATAGAAAAACGCCAACTTAAATTGGAATTTGACTGTCCAGTTTCCAATTCTTAGCCATCATCCAGCCGTACATCCAAGCGAACAGCACTTAGTATTCCCAAGCTGTCACTCATCTAGATACTAACCAGCCTCGGCTTTGCTTCACTTCACCTAATCCAGTTAGGATAGTTTTCTCAATGATATATGAAAGAAACAGATATCTAGCTAGGCGTGATCGACTGCTAAATTTTGAGATGTTTTACACGTATCAAGAAGATTACAAGTTTTATTTGAAGCCTGTGTGAAGCAGCATAAGAAATAAGCAAAGAGTTCAATTTTAGTTGTAAACAGCCTTGAAAGTATTCAGAACAATACCAACTATATTTTTATAGCTGAAATTTCCTTAGCTTCCTTTTACATCACATTTGATATTCTTTCTTCGACTACATCATTCTTTGGAGCAAGAATGTCTCATACTCAGACCAAATGTTACTATCTGTAGTAATCGAACATTTTTTTATTTATATTTTTAAATTATTTTTAATACTGAAATTCTTAGGATAAAATTAGTTACTAAACTAGATATAAAAGTTTCTAAAAATCTTTTTCTGTGTTGCAGAATATTTAATTTTCCTTTAGTTAAAAAAGTTTGAATACATAACTGACCTCAAGTAACCAAATCATCGCCTTTCCTGTCATTTTCACTGCCTAAATTCGCCTCTAAGTATGGAAAATTTCAGCTGCAATGCAAATCATAAGGCCACAAAATAATTCTTGTGAATTCAGGTGATCCCGAAACTCGAATTTGATTTTATCCGTTTGACTGTGAAGTCCCAAAAACATTTTTACTTGAATACAATCTTACTTCATTCTGAGAAAAAGAATTGTTTAATTTGACGGTCAATGACCTGCTTGTCTTTTTATTGACCTCGAGTGACCACCCTTTGCCTAATCTACGTTACAACTGAATGTTTTATGAGACGTTATTCTAGACATTAGGTCAGTGAATCTAGATTTTTAAACGTAATCAGACAGCTACAAGCACATATACAAAAAAGAAGAAGCGACCAATATTAGTATAGATAGTTGAGAAAAATGCGCAAACCACGACTTCATTGAGACCAGCGATTTTTAGTATTGGCGGCAGATTTGATGGAGCTGTGTATAGTCGTATGTGTTGAAGGGTGCATTAAGGGGTCAAATGTTTTAAAAGAGCATTTAAGTTTATTTGATTCTTATCACATCTGCGACTATTTTCAAGGATACCGTTGCGAATATGGGTAGCAGTTCAAATTCCGGTTTAGTTTGTTACGTTCAATTGTATGGAGTAAAAACATTAAAAGTGAAGTCCGGCATCTCCAGTGTTCCGGCACGGTGACATTAGTTTGACTGTTCCCGTCGAAGCTTACTTCCGGTAGTGAAAGTGCAATATTATCGTTGTTATATTAATACCGTTCCATCTTTCAATGCAGTTTTAACATAGGTATCGGCAACTTACGAAAATATCTGGAAAGTATCTTTGATGGGTGGGGGGATATAAAATTCAAGACACAGTGAATTTTAGCAAATAGATGAGCACATTTCTGCAAGGTCAGAACCTTTTTTTTTCGCTTTGATTTTGCGGTTTTTAAACTGTTTTTAATAGTCTGTTTTCTTTTCTATTTTTACGTTCTTTTGCAAGTCATTTTAATTGTTTTTTGGGGGGTTTTGTGGCTAAGGGGTCTTTTTATCCTTTCGTATTTATTCTTCCTTTCAAAATGTTTTTTAATTATTGGATTATTTTTGTGGTTTTTACTTTGTTTTTTTACTGATTTTGTTTGCCTTGATTTCTTTATTTCTACCGGTTTTATTTGTTTGCATACGGCCACGTTACGTATAATAGCCGGTTCCCGTACGATCACCAAAGTTAGACAACGTCGAATTTGGTCAGTACCTCGATGGGTGACCGCTTGGGAATAGCAGGTGCTGTAAGCTTGGATGTAAGGTTAATGTAATTAATAATGGCTCGGAATTGCTTATCGGAAAGCCGAGTTTCAATTCTCGTTATATTCACTTACGCACAAATACATTTTAGGAAATGTATGAATCCATATCTTCTCTTTCTCCCTATTTATGGGTTAAATAATAAAACGTATCACTAAAACAATTATTATCTCAAAGAAATTTCTTAAAATCTAAAAATATTTTGTTTGTTTTTTTCTTGTGATTTTTCTTTCTTTTCTTTTTAACTATTTTGTCCTTTGGTATTATTTCTTTCTTAACTGTTTTAATTCTTTGTTTTGCTTTGTTTAAATTCCTAATTTCATTCATTTTTAACAGTTTTTAACAGTTCTGTTTTCTCTTTTACTTAAATTTAACTGTTATTTTTTTTTGTTTTTCTTTTCTTCCTTATTTTTAAAACTTTAATTTTTTTTTACATATATTTTTCTTTCATTCTGCTTAAATGTTTGAATTTCCTTGTTTTGTTTTTTCTTTCTTTTAACTGGTTTTAATTATTTCCGGTATATGCTCCTTCATTTACAAGGATAGCTGAATTATTTCTAATCTGACTTACTTCACAAAAAAGTATTCTGTAATTGATTTGTAATTGAAAACTTGATTTTGGGATGTTGGTCAAACCTAAGATTTTTTTCAGCACCTCTTTGCTTTCGTAAAAACCTCGAAACGGTGTACGGATGATACAGAGTTGAACCGTGTTCTCAGATGTCTGTACGAAAAGATGTTGCATTCAACACTTGTCAGAAAGTTGTTAGAAAACACACTTTGTATACCATTCGTGAATGTTCCATATTCACAGTTGGTTCAATAATCGCAATCTCGTGTCAAAATTAGATATGTTTTCTATAAATAACCACGCCTGTGAATAACTATATCTGAACCAATATATTAACATTTGAACCATGAATTAGATGATGGACGTTCAACCCAAGATGTTATAAAAGCAATTTTACTGTAGATTTCGTTGTATTTATTAGTCTCATGATAGCAAATAAGATCGAAAAACTAGACATGGCTGATATCAATGAGAATTTCCCGACAGAATCAGGAGGTAAATTTTAGTTACGTGCATTGGCAAGGAAAGATGCATATCAAATGTGTAACATAAATATTTTTCAATCATTATGCATACGAATGTATGTATGTATATACATATAAAAGTGGTGAATTAAGTCTGTAAACTGATACGGAATTACTGTAAGCATTTTGATCTGAAAATATCACTGTATAATGTTATATCTATGAAATTAATATTGTCCACCGAATTGCGTATATAATTACCAGCAATGTTGAAAAATATATGCAAAAAGTGTTTTTCATTATTAGGCTACAGAATTATTGATCTATTCCCAGATTAAGATTAAATTATTCTGGAATAAACAGAAAAGTATAAATTAGTGAACGTGCTCGAACCGATATGACTTGAGATTATAACAGGAGAAAATTGCCTAACCTGGCTACCTCTTCGTTCAGTCACTTTTCTGAGATTCCTATCAACGCAATATTCTCCGATGTTATAAAGATTATAATTATCTATCTATATTAAATAGCCAAGATACGAACAACAAATTAGTGATGTCAAAATGAAACATGTACGGAAGTGTCGCAATCAGTCAGGTCCAGAATTGTTAAAATTACACGAATATGGAAGTATCAAAGTTAAAGAATAGTCAAAATCAAGCAAGTAAAGAAGTAACAAAATCAAACAATTGCCGAAGTATCAAAATCAAACAAGTACGTAAGTGTCTAAATCAAGCAAGTAGAGAAGTATCAAAATCAAACAAGTTATTGTCGAAATCAAGCAAGTAGAGAAGTATCAAAATCAAACAAGTACGTAAGTGCCTAACTCAAGTGAGTAGAGAAGTATCAAAATCAAACAAGTACGTAAGTGCCTAAATCAAGCAAGTAGAGAAGTATCAAAATCACACAAGTACGTTATTGTCTAAATCAAGCAAGTAGAGAAGTATCAAAATCAAACAAGTACGTAAGTGCCTAAATCAAGCAAGTAGAGAAGTATCAAAATGTTGTGGTAGGATCCACCTAATTTGCATAGTGGAGAACCGACCATATAAATATGGTTGGTACCGGGAAGAGAGGGGAGAATCAAGAGATTCAACCAGAGACTCTGCCCGACTGCGACTCAGTCAACACATTCTCCAGGAAAGGTCTTACCAGGAATATACAAAAGACTATATGTACATATTGTGTACATTTTCTTGTTTCAATACATTTTGTTCTAAGTACCTTTTGTGTTGCATTATTATTCTATGCATTAGCCAAGTTTCAACAATGGCGGCGAGGTAGAAAGAACTATACGAAAAAAAAAAAGAATTGATATTTGATAGCCTTCAACAATTGGCACAATCATTGAAGAACCTAGGCTGAAGGAAAAAATTATTAATTAAAAGTCCAACATCTAATGGAACGGCGAAGGATTCTGAATTTCTGGATATTTAGAACTCGTTAAAGGACGACTAAGCATAAAGGAACGTTCACTCAGAAAAAATTTGAAAGGTGTCGTAAACGAATAACGGTGATTTAAAAAAAAAAAAAAAAAACGGGCCGACTACAAAAACATGCATGGATTTAAAAGACGCACAAATACATCGTGTCGACTTTGAAAGGTAATGAACTTTAAAAAAAAAAAATTTTTTTTTTTTTTTTTGGTTATATAACAATATTTTATAAAGCAAGACATAAAAAAAAAAGACGTAATTTGTTTCGATTTTTCTGGTCAGATTATATTATATCCGTGGATAACAAATTAAAAGTATATTCTTTGTTGCATGAACACTATTAGCAAAAGATAGATGAATTATCCAAAGTCATAAATTATTCAAATCCCAGCAGTTGAGTCAGCAACGTCAAAGGAACAGTTTGCCTTATTAATAAGGGAACAACAGATAGCACAACAAAAATATCAAAAAAGCAAGAGGAAAGACAGCCAAAATATAGACTGGGAAAACAGGAAAAATGCAGATCAAGGAAAAAGTTAACACTGGAGAAATTAAACAACAATCAGGCAAATGAAGGAAATTCTTCATATTCTAATAACATCATATTTAATTCGCTGGAAACTTTCAACTATGGGCCAGACGAAAAAAAAAGCGTACTTTAAACGATATGAAGAAACACAGACTGTGAAAACTGGTCGAATTCAAGAAAAGTCAGTCTATTACTAAGAAAGCTAGGTACAGCAGAACATAGCAAATTTGTAGATTTTATTCTACCGAGAAGGATGAATGAATTGGAATTCTCGGAAACAGTCTAAAAGGAGTTGTTTGGAGCAAAATGTCGCTTTGGCATAAGCGATGGTTATGCATGAATTGTCCGACGATCAGGAACTTAACATATGCATCTATAGTGAATAGACATTGTGACAATTTCAGATTGGCAAAACTACGGTTGAAAATTCAAGTGTTTAATTTTTGCTCAAGGACTGATATCCAGTAAATCGAAATAAGACGTAGAGTTTTTGGCTAAACTCGAATCTGAACAAACCTTACCCTACAAAAAGTTAACAAATGTCTGCAAAGTTTAAAGAAAGAGTCTCAAAAATCGAAGAAGCTGGCATGGCTCATATTAAAAAAAAAAAAAACAGTCAAATTACCCATCAGCAAAAAAAAATTGGAGTAAAAAGTATTTTAAAAATAGACAAGAAAAAAAATGAAAAAGAACGAGGAGGAAAAAAAGGTTTCACCATATAATTGTAGACGTTGCAACGAAAGACACTGGGAGGTAAATTGCTCATATAGAAATAAATGTTTCGTGTGCCACAAGAATGGACACAAAGGATCGTGCTGTAAAACGAAAAAAGTCAATAGCCGAATGAGACAAACAAATTCAAATATAAAATCAGATAGAGATTTGAGGAAATATGTGACGACTGAAATATTTAAAAAGAATATCAAATTTCAACTCGATTCGGGTTCAGATTTAACAATAATGAACTATAAAACATGGAACATTTTAAAAAGGCCTACAATAATGAAGTCAACGAAATGCACTCGAACGGTAACTGGAAAGGAAATTAACTTCGAAGGCGAGGTTGTACTTCCCATGAAATTGAACGGGATAGTTAAAAAAATAAAAGTTTTCATTCTGAAAAATGGAGAAAACTTGATGGGTACAGATTTTATTGAAACATTCGAATTGTGGGATAAACCGTTAAACTAATTCTGCAGAAAAGTAGAAAGTAATACGCAAACAAGACAGGACATTAAAGATGAATTAAAGAAAAAAGTTTCCGGAAACCTTCACACCTGGTCTTGGAAGATGTAACAAGTTTGAAGCTAAATTTGAATTAAAGGAAAATACTATGCCAATTTTAAAAAAAGAAACGTAACGAGCCTTTCGCAAGTGTAGAGAAAATTAACGAAGAACTTGATAGGTTGGAAAATGGGAATTATTTCGAAAGTAGAATCTAATTCATGGGCTGCGCCGATTGTGTGCATAAAAAGAAATCAAACCAAGTCAGAGTCTGCGTTGATTTTTCGACAGGGTTGAACTCGGTAATTAAGGACTACCATTACCCGTTACCGAGTCCGGAGGAGATTTTAAGAAGCTAAATGGTGGAGTTATATTTTCAAAAATCGACTTATCAGATGCCTATCTCCAAATTCCCGTCGAAGAGGAATGTTCGAAGTTACTAGGGATAAACACGCATAGAGGGTTATTCAAGTACAACAGACTTACTTTTGGTATTAAAGTGGCACCAGCCATTTTTCAACAAGCTATGGACGTCATGTTGAATGATTTAGACTTTGCGTGCGCCTACTTAGACGACATCATAATAAGGAGCGAAACCGTCGACGAACATCGAGAGCATCTCAATCAAGTATTTAAAAAGATTCAGGACTTTGCTTTTTAAAGTCAAAGAGTCAAAGTGCGAATTTGGTTTGGAGGAAATTAAGTATTTAGATCACATAATCAACAAAAGGGCAGATTTCCAGATCCGGAAAGGTCCATTGCGAT